CCCAGGGAGGGGACCCAGCCCCAGTGCCCCAGCCCCGCCCCCAGTTCCACTGCCCCAGGTCCCCGTGGTGGCCAGGCCGGGATCCCTTACCCGTCCGAGACCAGCCCGTCCCGCGTCTCTCCGCCGCGCCGAGTCCTCCCGCGCCAGCCCTCCACCTCCCCACTTCCCCCTCGCCCCTGCCGGGCTCGAGCGCCCTTCCCCTCGCTGCAGCCCCAGGGTCTGGCTGGGTCTCCCGGTCACACGCGCTGCTCCCCGCACGCTCCCACGTGGGTGCTGCAGACACTTGGCCCCGGGCCCAGCCCTGGGGTGAGCTGGCAGGGGGAGGTGAGGGGGTGCAGGCCGGGGCGCTGCCAGGGTCCACTCCAGCTTGAGCGGGTTTCTGCCAGGCTCCAGCTGGAGTCCGGTTCTCGGGTCACTGACAGGAGTGAATGTGGAGAAAGAAAGAAAGAAAGAAAGAAAGAAAGAAAGAAAGAAAGAAAGAAAGAAAGAAAGAAAGAAAGAAAGAAAGTTGGGGACAGGAAAAGAAAGGGAATAGATAGAAAGAAGTAATAAAGGTAGGATGGAAAAGTAGGGATTTTTCTTTCTTTCTTTCTTTCTTTCTTTCTTTCTTTCTTTCTTTCTTTCTTTCTTTCTTTCTTTCTTTCTTTCTTTACCACCCCTCTTCTTTCTTCCTTCCATACACCCTTTCTCCTCCCCACAGTCTCTTGCTCTCTCTGATCCAGCTGCTGCTCCGGCCACCCAGCTGACCGCACAAGGGGTGATCAATGGATGGAAAATGCTCCCAGGGGACGGGCTGCCTCCTGCATCCACGAATCGTCCTGGACAGCCTGGGATCGATGGGCCGTAGCCTGGCAGCAGGAGGCCTCTGGGGTGCGACATGGGGGGCGCTGGTTAGATGGGACCCCTTGCCTGGCACTGGGATGTGGCTCCTCTCGGGTGGGGCGCAGGGGTCGGGAATACGGGACCCCTCGTCTGGCGCTGGGACCGCAGCCCCTCTGGGCTGGGCCCAGGGAAGAGGGAATACTGAGGCCAAGAAAGGCTCCTGGCCGCCTTTCTCTCTTCCTCTGCCCCTCGGGAGTTGACTCCAGCCGGAGCCAGGCTGGCGCCTCCTTGCATGACAGGACCAAGAATTCGTGCAAGGCCCTAGACAGCTGCAGGCTGCTGTCTCCCTCCCATGGACAGGTGGAAGGTTGCCAGCCCCAGGGTGGGGGGTGGGGTGTGTGGGGAGCTTCCCCCTTCTCTGTCCTGCGTCCCATGTCCTAAGGGGAGGGGGTTGGGGTTACCTCCCCCCTGCAGAGAGGGAGCTCATGGGAGTTGTAGTTTTAGTTTGGAAAAGGGGACTGGGCTGAAGCGGAGCCCGGCTCCCCTTTGTACCTCTTGCCCCCTCCCCCTACAACATCTCCACCCTCTACAGGTCCCCACCCCCTGTACCCTCTCGCCCCCTGCAGCCCCCCCTGCCCATACAACCCCACCCCATCCCCCTGAATAC